CGTCCTAATTAATTAGAATAATTCGACCAATTTGGATAATTAGAAAAATGAGGCCAAGTTTTGTCTTTATTTCAATAAGGTTGCAAAAAGATACCCCGGTGTTTCCATTTGCTTAAGCCCCCAGAGCAAAATATAACATTTAAATTCTGAGCAATGGAAGTGGTATACTAGCAAAAGGTAACTGGTATACAGCATATGTGCACATTATGGGGGAAATCAGACCATTTTGGCACAGCAATTCGGCATAATCATGCCATGTAAGTGTTTACCATAGTTTCCTGTCTGTGGAATTCCAGGCTCATATTTTTCCAAATTCTGATTATTCTAATTAGTTAGAATAATTGGAAATTAGAATAATAGAGAAAATAGCGACCTACTGGTTCTAATTATTTTCCTTTCTGGTGAATTCCAGGCTCATTTTCCTAATTATTGTAATTATCCAAATTACTCTACTTGTTCTAATTATTAGAATGAATAGAACAGAAAAACTAATTAGAAAACAAAAGAGGCTATAGTTTTTCTAAGTATTCTTTTTTTTTTTAATCTTTCCCCTTTCTGTTGAATTCGAGGCGCATTTTCTAGTTATTGTAGTTGTTGTGGATGTTCTAATTATTCTAAAGAAACAAAAGGAGTCTATATTTGCCTGTCTCAGTTTTCTAATGATTCCATTTCTGTGGAATTCCGAACCCATGTTTTTCCATTTATTCTAACTTGGCTAATTATTCAAATTATTCGAATTATTCTAGTTCATTCGAAAAGCAAAAGAAATTAGAATATTCAGAATAATTAGAAAGATATAGCATCATTTTTCTATGTATTCTATTTTCTCGAATAATTAGAACAATTTGGGAAAATGTGAGTCTGGAATTTCCCAGAAGTGGAAAGAATTAGAAAAACTAGAAAAACTGGAAACACTATAGCACGTTTTTATTTGTCTTTAATTGTTTTTATTCAATTAAAATATTTCAAATAAGAAGAAAAAGAGAATAATTACAATAATTAGAAAAATATGAGTCTGGAATTCCCCAGAAATGGAAATAATTAGCATAGTTAGAACAGTATAGCCTCATTTTCTTAGCAGTTTCATTTTTCTCATTGTATTAATTCATTAGCATGATTGATAAAAGTAGAATAATTAGACATCTCTGAGTCTGGAATTCCACAGAAAGGGAAATAGTTAGAATAATTGGAATAATTCGACAAGTGCAGCTTTCTTTTCTGACTATTCATTCTTCAATTTGTTCTCATCAGAGTGGAATAGTTAGATTAATTAGACTGATATGAGTCTGGAATTCACCAGAAACGGAAATAATTAGAAAATTGAAAAATAGAACAATTCGAAGAATTAGAATAATAAGAATAGCTAGAAAATATGAGCCTGGAATTCGTCACTTTGTTCTAATCCCTTCCCCCTAATATAAAACGTCCCCCCCCTTCCCCCCCCCTAATATACAAACCACCCCGAGGTTTTTATAATTAGGGGTCCCCTGCTCAGTTTTCGGAACTTTAGGGCAGGGTTTGGGAGTAGCTTGGTTTTAGTATTGGTTATCAGTGGGAATGTGTTCCCCCCTTTCTGGGCACCAAAAAACATTCAACTGATTGTTTTTAAGTAAGGGATTTAAATGGAAACGGTGACCTTTTTTGGGGGGGAAACCTCGTGCTTGAGTACTCCCGGAGCTCCGGCTCGAAAGTCGCAACTTCGTAGCACAAGCGTAGTAAAGGAATGGATCTCATGGATGATAGGAAGTCAAGGAAGTTGTTTTGAAGGGAAGTCAGGGCAAAAAAAGGTACCCCTAATACGGATGATTTGGAGGACGAACGGGAAATTTTGCCAAAATGGGTAGTTTAGAATTGGTTTAGTGTTGGCCTATTCTAAAAGTAGTATTGCCGTATTTTTGAATTCTGGACGGGTTTTTATTATTCGGGAGACCTTTATAATTAGGAAGAAGGGATTACCTATTCTTTTTTCTATTTAAATGAAAAAAGTATAATAATTAGAACAGTTACAAAATATGAGTCTTGAAGCCCCAAGAAGAGGAAAGAACAGAGTCGAAGTTTGCCCCGAGCCCGGGAGAAGGTGTAGGAACGCACTTACAAATCCAACGCGCGCATGTAAGCGCGTGGTTATACCAGTATCGGCATTCAGTCGGTGCTGAAAGAAAACGATGCTGCTTAGAAGGGTCTAGCTGCGACCTTTCCGCGCACTGTCTCAGGAGGAGTGGGAAGAATCCTGGGGCATGGCGGGCTACTATGGGCCGGTGGCGCAGGTCTTCAGTTTCTTGGATAACGAGGGAACTTGGTCATTGGCCGAGTTCGAGGAAATGACAAAGCGCCCTGGCGCTTCATCTCCCCGCTTCGGTGGCCAAGGGTTTTGGGGGATCGCCCTCTAGCCTTGATTAAGTGCCAGCGCAGTTCCATTAGAACCTCAAATGTTTTCAATCAACTTGCCAGCCCGCGGGTGCGGGAAAGGCAAGCAAGCTTGTGCTTCCAAATTCGTAGGGATGCTTCCTGGCGAAGTGGATTTGTTCCTTGTTTGTCTGAAAGGTAGTCGCAGGACACGCCAGTCTGTCTGGGTTTGTTTGTTTGTTCTGAACTTGTAAGGCGTCAAATTGGCGCCTGAGACGTGCCGTCGGAGGTTGGAGACAGATTTCACAGGGTCATGAATCCTTCTGCTGATGGCCGCACGGTGCCTTTGATACGTGCCTGCAGGAAGGGGCGGCGCGAGGATCGGTCGCGCATGTTTCACTGTATCACCCACGGGCAATATTCATGTATTCTTGGAGAAGGCCATGACCAGCAGCTCAGCATCGTTTTCCCTGAGGGCAACCAATGCTGCCAGAGCGGCGGGCGCAAAGCCGACGCGCCTGTCCAATCCCGTTTAG